AGAGAGAGAGAGAGAGAGAGAGAGAGAGAGAGAGTTAAGTTGAAAAAGCAGCCCGAACGTCGATAAAAATATAATGTGTATAATTATGCTCGCCTAAAATTGCTCTCAAAGACATCATTTCGAACCACCCCTAAGCTCTGTGTATAGCATTAATATTATGTCATACCATTGATGCTATGCCCCGGGGGTAGCCTATTGTGTTAACGATTTTTATACGCTGCCAATGCTACCTGATTAGTTTTTTCGATTCTGTGTACATATTAATGAATTCTTTCTGATAATGTTCGTGCTGCTCTTTCCTTGTTGGAGGGTGCCACTGGTGGGGCATCACAAATAGTTCTTACTTTTTTTTCTGTCCCTGTGTTGTTTCTGTCTGTTTTACTTTCTGTTCCGCGCACTGAAATGCTTGTCACTGTCAAATGCTTGTCACTGTCATTGTCTTTACTTGATCTAAAAGAGAAGGGGAAAAATCCCCAAAAAGCTATGTGTTCCTTTCCTTATTCTGTGGTTGAGACCGATCATTCTATTCCTTGATCCACAGTAAACGCAAGTCAGATTTGCCCAAACAACTCTATGGAAGGCGTCCAGTGGACACAGGCATTTGGCGGGTTTTATGATCTACAGATATGCCCAACCGATGCTTCCAGTAAGTTTTATTTGTGCAAGTTTCCCGGTCTTTGCATATTTTTCTGGCGATAAATACAAACTTGAGAAGATGTTTAGGAACACAGTTAAACCTCAATGTTGATTTCAATAAGTTAACAATCTAGTGAAACCTTATAAATTGATGTCTTTACTCTATGAAAGGATATTATTTGACAACGGCTCTTTGTTTTGGCGAAACCATAAAAGTAAGAACCTCGAGGAACTAGATTGATAAGACAAACACAGGCTTGGAAGACTTGGGAGTAGGCGCTCGTTTTGCTGAGAGCGATTCTCTTCTCGTGCAAGAGGACTTGGTTCGATACCCGTGTTGTGGATAAAGGGCTGGGGGTTGACCAGTGCTTTTTTTCTAGGATTCTCATCAGTTCTTTCGATAAAGAAGTATAGCAAAAGACAAGAAGACGAAAATGAGAAAACTAGTGTCTGTGGTGAACCCGGTTAGGTATTTCTCTGTCGCTCGCAGAAGACCCAATTCGATTTTCCCGAGTTGGCCCTGACAATATGCAGGGCTGGAAGCCTGCCTCCTAAGTTATCAAAATCGTGTCGATGAAGTCGTAAAAAAGACATACATTTAAAAAAAAATAAAGAAATAAAGAAAGCGGACAGACAGACAGACAGACAGACAGACAGACAGACAGACAGACAGACAGACAGACAGACCGACAGACCGACAGACCGACAGACCGACAGACCGACAGACCGACAGACAGACAAGCAGTCGGGTCAGGCTAGTAAGTAGAATTGACAGACAAGTTTGAGACAGGCAGAGAGACA